TGGAGCTTCAAAGAAGAACAGTCTTGAGTTTTTCCTGTAAAACACATCTTCATTAGGAGTACAATATTCCTTAGGTATCCCTATTAGCAAAAATATCCACATGTGGGTCATATAGAAGGTAGGCTCCAATATCTTCAGTTTTTACTACTATTAAAGCTGGTTCAGAAACCTAACTCTGCAAGTAAGAATATTCCTTAGGTATCCCTATTAGCAAAAATATCCACATGTGGGTCATATAGAAGGTAGCCTCCAATATCTTCAGTTTTTACTACTATTAAAGCTGGTTCAGAAACCTAACTCTGCAAGTAAATATTTTTTTTAAAACAAAAAAGAGCTTGTACTGAATGTTTTTATTATAACTTCCATCTGTGAATGTCCTATTTATGTAATTATGTTATATAAATTTCTAATTTATATAAATCATGGAATTTTACTTCATCACATAGTCCCATAGTTCTTCTTGTGTGTCTTCTTCCTCATTCTACACTTTAAATGTATCCACTAAATCTATATATGACTTGTATCTTTCTACTTTCTCTCCGGCGATCCTATTCAATCTCAGAGCCTCAATCATCTCCTTATTCTCAAATCCATGTAATTACATTTTCTGTCTTCACTGAACCTTAGTCTTAAATTTTCAAAAGCCCCCTGGATATCATCCCCATATGCACTGCTGGTACCTCAAATTAAGGGGGATGGGGAGGCAGGTCAGAGATGGGGGACATGGGGTATAATTGGAATTTGTGGTCATGGGCTTGCTGCCAGTATGGATCTGGCCACTACATTTTGGGCATGAGTAGTCACAGTCAGCTTTGTACCCCATAAATACTCATAACAACGAAAAAAATTAAAAACTTAATTCATCTTAAGTCTAAAACCTGTTTCAACTTCTGTTTCTGTTAATAGCACCAATGCTCTCCCAGTCACCAGGTTTAACTTATTCAGCCTGGCCTCTTTTTTCTCTTTTTTCCTCCAGGTGAAAAATTATTTAGTCCTATCAAGTCCTCCATAACATCTCTTGCATCACTCCTACCCCCTTCTTTTACTCTGGATCACTTTCCATAATCTTTCACTGGCACTACAGTAATAGTCTCCAAATGGATCTTCCCACTTCGAGTCTCCTTTCCCTTTCAAAATATCCTACATATTCCAGCTAGGATGAATCTTCCTAAATCAAAAAATTTTATCATGTCACACCCTTGCTCAAAAATGTGCTATAGTGGCTCCCTACCCAAGTAAAAAAGCTCAGATCTCTTAGATGAGTGTTAGAATTTGTGATTACATGACTCCAGCCTACATAATTTTATCTACTTTCATTCAACTTTTTCACCAGCTCAACCAAACTAGTCACCAATCTCTGTATTTTTTTGCTTCTTTGCCTCTTTTGCCTGGAATGCCCATCCTTGATAACTATTGGTCAAGCCTTCAGCCAGAAATCATTTCTTCATAATAACAACATGATAAAGTGACATGAAAATATTATCAAAAGACTTGGCTTTGAGTGTTGGGTTTGCCAGAAAGTCCTTAATCTGTAAAATGAGGACTACGTTCCTTACAAGGTAGTTGTGAAAATACGTTGTAAAGAGTGTTACTCTTCTACTGTACTACCATAGCTCTGTATCCATCTCTCTCTTACGATATATCAATTTCAACCTCATACTATGGTTACTTAGAAATACTTATTCTATTTCTTACCTGAGTTTTTTTTTTTTTTTTTTTTGGTGTTTTGCCACAGTGTCTAACATAATGCCTTTAATACTTAAATGTATTTGTTGAACATTCCGCTACTATGTTCATATTTTTAGCACCTGTCCCTTTTAAAAAGTGAGTAATGAATGCAAATGAAAGACATATTCCATATAAACCATGACTGTCTGTCAAGAATATAATAGTGAGAGAAAATAGATAACTTGCAAGTCAATACTGATTGAAAAATTTACATACTAGATAAAAAATCATTGTCTTGAGGAACTGACAGGGACCTTGAAGTTGCAGGAGAACCACTACTTTCATGGACCTGAGAGGATCCACATGATTCCTAAAATAAATAGAAGATAAAAGATTTAGGTTAATAAAAAATCATTTTTTTCAAAGTTATACAGTTTTAATTTCTAAACAGTTCTTTCTTTTGGCTTATTGCAAAAGAAGTATCAAAACTATGAAAAATTATTATACCTTAGAAAATTAAAGAAACACATATATAAAATAACCAACAAAGCTAAACTTAATTTCTTTACCAACTTAAATGATGGGACTGGGGCAATAATTAAATATTAGAAATAATTAATTTTTCAATATTTCCTACGTGGATGAGAAATTTGAAATATGCAACTCTAGTTACCTACGGATTTACAGAAAATGCCTGTTCTCAGTGTCCCAGATTCCTTCAACATGGAGGGTTGGGAAACCATGAAAATGTTAATAGAGAACACTCCTAGCTCTGTCACGGAATTACTGACTAACCTTCAATAAAGCACTTAAATCCTCTGGCTCTCAGGTTCTTTGTACTATCTATCTAAAATATGCACAAAAGGGCTTTAAGGATCAAAGGAGATAGTGTATGTAAAGATGATTTGAAAAGTATGTATTGTGCTTTAAGATTCATTTTGAAGGCATTATCACTTTTCTAAATTGTAAAGTGAACATATATATTCTTAAAAGAGAAGACTAACATGAAATAAGTCTGAATGAATGCTACTAAAGAAATCTTTCTTCTTGGCTTTTCCTCTTATTAATTATTGTAACGGGTACGAACAAGGTGGCATAAATATAGTGGTAGAACTATAATCAATGGTTTGCTTCTATATTACTCAGGGAAATTATTCATTATACAATGAAGGGACAAGGACAGAACTCAAAGTCAAACAAAGAAGCAAGGATTGTGGTGTGATGAGATTAATAATGAATTGAGAATCAAAAGAGCTGGGTTTCAAGTTGGAGATTGCCATAGGCTACCAAACAAACCCTAAAAGCTCCCTGGGCTGTAGTTGCCCATCCGTAAAAGAAGAGGTTAGAATAAATGATTTTTCATGTTCTTCACACATTTTGAGTTTAATACATATATATTTTTTTACCTCCTGTGGACCACGATTTACAGATATGTTCACAGATAACTCCATTTTCTTCTGGTCACATAAGTGAATAGTACTTGAAACCCTCTGTAACTGTAATGAATACATACATGTACTTTAATTAAAGGTGATTAGGAAATTACAGAAGTAAAATATAATTTAATTAACATATTTTAAATGTTTATACAAAATCAGTGGAAATAAAAGCTAAATCAGTTGAGGATATAATACATAAGGTAAGGTCTTAGGCAGGAGCTGAAGGCAGGCCCCACCACCCAACAGCAGATAGGAGCATGCTCAGGGTTCTAGGCAGGAGCTGAGGGCAGCAGCCCCCTGGCCAGCAGCAGGCAGGAGCATATTTGGGGTTCTAGGGTCTATGCAGGAGCTGAGGGTGGCACCCCCTGCCCAGCATCAGGAAAGAACATGGTGAAAACACCACTTCTGCATGGGTAGCCCACCATAGCCACTGCCACAGCCACAGCTTGCTGCCACAGTAATAGTCACAGCCACCATGCAGGTGACCCACTAGACACTTGAATGAATTCACAAAAAGAGAGTCACCAGTGGAGACTGGAAAAAAGAAGAGGAAGTCTCTCTCCTCAAAGTCAACTCCAGACAATAGAAGAAGCAACTGCTCGACCAGATGACTAGACATGAACATAGAGATACCAGACATATAAAAATCCCAGAAAATATGACACCACCAAAAGAATACAGTAATTCTCAAATACCAGACCCTATAGAGCAGGAAACCCTTGAAATGACTGAAAAGGCATTCTAAGTAACGATCTTAAGGAAACTCATTGTGATATGAGAAGACTCGGACAACATAACAAAACAAGAAAAAATATCCAGGATATGAAGGAGTAAATTTACAAAGAGATTAATACTTTAAAAGAGGATGTAGCAAAACTTAAGGAACTGAAAGACTCATTCAACGAAATAAAAAACACAGAACCTAAGCAGCAGTCTAGAACAAGCAGAAAAAGAATTTCTGATCTTGAAAATAGTCTTTTAGAAATAACCAAAGTGAATTAAAAAAAAAGATTTTTTTAAAAATGAAGAAAAGGGGAGGAGAAAGGAAAGGCATCGGAAACCTATTCAATGAAATAATAACAGAAAACTTCCCAGGCATATGGAGAGACAAGGACCTTCAGATCCATGAGGCTCAAAGATCTCCAAGCAGATTCAGTCCAAATATATTTTCTCTGAGACACATTATAGTCAAACTGGCAAAGCTCAAAGACAAAGAGAAAATCTTAAAAGCAGCAAGAGAAAAGCATCAAGTCATCTATAAGGGAGCCCCCCCTACCTGAATAATAGCAGATTTCTCAATAGAAACTCTACAGGCCAGAAGAAAATGGGATGATATATTCAAAATATTAAAAGAAAAAAACTGCCAGTCAAGGATGCTATGCTCAGCAAGGCTATCCTTCAGAAATGAAGGAGAAATAGTGTATTTTCCAGACAAAAAAAGAATTTCGGGAGTTCACTACCACATGACCAGCCCTGCAAGAAATCCTCAAGGGAGTCGTGCATCTGGAATCTGAAAAATGATAATTACTACCATGAATACATGGGAAAGAACAAAACCTGCTGGTAGAACAAAAATGCAAAGAAGAAAAAGAAAATTTTACCACCGCACACAAAAAAACAAACATCAAAGACAAACAAAAAAAGGGGAAGAAAGGTACAAAAGATATTTAAAGCTTCCAAATGAAAATGGATAGAATGCCAGGAGTAAGACACCACCTTTCAATAACAACCCTAAATGTAAATGGATTACACTCCCTTATCAAAAGACACAGACTGACTGATTTAATTAAAGAGCTAGACCCAACTATATGCTGTCGTCAAGAGACTCACCTCACCTGGTGAGGCACACACAGACCAATAGTGAAGGGATGGAAAAAGATATACCATGCAAAAAGAAATCAAAAACAAGCAGGAGCAGTTATTCTTCTATCAGGTAATATAGACTTTAAACCAGAAACCATAAGAGACAAAGAAGACCACTATATAATGATAAAGGGATCTATACAACAAGAAGACATAATAATCATAAATATATCTGTAACCAACAATGGAGCACCCAGATATATAAAGCAAACACTATTAGGCTTAAAGAAAGAGAACCTAATATGATAATAGTAGGGGACCTGAATGCCCCCTGTTAGCACTGGACAGATCATCTAGGCAACAAATCAACAGAGAAACATGGGATTTCAACTATACTTTAGACCAACTGGAGCTGGCAGGTAATTACAGAATATTTCATCCAACAACTACAGAATATACATTTTTCTCATCAGCACGTGGAACATTCTCCAGGATAGACCATGTTAGGCCACAAATCAAGTCTCAACATATTTTAAAAATTTAAATCATTTCAAGTAGCTTTTCAGACCACAAAAGATTGACACTAGATGTCATCAACAAGCAGAACCAAAGAAACTATAAAAGCACATGGACATTAAACAACATGCTCCTGAACAACCAATGGGTCCAAGAAGAAATTAAACAAGGATCAAAAAATTTCTTGAAACTAACAAAAATATACATCATACCAAAACCTGTGTGATACTGCAAAAGCAGTAGTAAGAGGGAAATTTATTTCAGTAAACACTTACATCAAAAGAATAGAAAGATTTCAAATAAACAACCTAATGCTGCACCTCAAAGAATGAGAAAATCAAGAATAATCCAATCCCAGAATTAGCAGACAGAAAGAAATAATTACGATCAGAGCAGAACCAAATGAAATAGAGACCCCCAAAATGATACAAAAGATCAATTAAATAAAAGTTGTTTTTTTGAGAAGATAAACAAAATAGACAAGCCAATAGCAAGGCAAAGTAAAAAAAGAAAACCTAAATAACAAAAATTATAAATAAAAATGGAGGCATTACAACCAATACCACAGAAATAAAAAGAATCATTAGAGACTATTATAAAGTATATGCCAACAAATTTGAAAACCTGGAGGAAATGGATAAATTTTTGTTCCCATATAAACTACCAAGACTGAACCAAGAAGAAATAGAAAACCTGAACATATCAATAACAAGCAATGAGATTGAAGCAGTAATCAGCAGTTTCCCAACAAGCAAAAGTCCAGGACTGGATGATTATACTGCTGAATTCCACCATACCTATAAAGAGGAATAAACACAAATTTTCTTCAAACTATTCCAAAAAATTGAAACAGAGGCCAATCTCCTAAATTCATTCTATGAGGCCAGCATTACCCTAATACCAAAACCAAAGACATCACAAAAAAAGAAAAATACAGGCCAATAATTCTGATCATCACAAACACCAAAATCCTCAAAAAATATTAGTGATCAGAATACAACAACACATCAGAAAAATTACACACTATGATCAAGTGGGATTCATCCCAGGGATGTAAGGATGGTTCAAGATACGCAAGTCAATAAATGTGAAACACCACATTAACAAAATCAAGGATTAAAAACCATATGATTATCTCAATAGACACAGAAAAAACAGTTGACAAAATTCAACATCTCTTCATGATGAAGACTCTCAGCAAATTAGGTATAGAAGGTCCACTACTAATATCATCTTGAATGGGAACAAGACAAGGATGCCCACTTTCACCACTCCTTTTTAACATAGTATTGGAAGTAATAGCTAGAGCAATCAGGCAAGAAAAAGAAATGAAAGGGCATCCATATTGGAAAATATGAGGTCAAACTGTCCCTGTTTGCAGATGACATGATCCTATATACAGAAAAACCTAAAGACTTTACCAAAAAACCCTTAGAGCTGATAAATGATTTCAGTAAAGTTGCAGGATATAAAATCAATATGCAAAAAGCAGTAGTATTTTTATACTTCAGCAATGAACTAGCAGAAAAAGAAATCAAGAAAGCAAGCCCATTTAAAATAGTCACCAAAAAAATAAAATACCTAGGCATCAATTTAACCAAGGAGGTAAAAGATCTCTACAATGAGAAATACAAATCACCATTGAAAGAAATTAAAGAGGACACAAAAAGATGGAAAGACACTCCACACTCTTGGATTGGAAGAATTAACATTGTGAAAATGTCCATACTATCCAAAGCGATCTACAGATCCAATGCAATCCCCATCAAAATACCAATGACATCTTTCATAGAAATAGAAAGAACAATCCTAACATTCACGTGGAACACCAAAAGACTCCAAACAGCCAAAGCAATCCTGAGCAAAATAAATAAATAAATAAAGAAAGAAAGAAAGAAAGAAAGAAAGAAAGAAAGAAAGAAATAAAGCCAGAGGCATAATACTACCTGACTTCAAATTATACTACAAAGCTATAGTAACCAAGACAGCATGGTACTGGCAATAAAAAACAGACACTCAGACCAATGGAACAGAATAGAAAACCCAGAACAGAATAGAAAAGCCAATATCTGTTGGCTGTAAATATTCAACACCCATATTTACAGCCAACACATATTTGACAATGGCAACAGGAGCATAATTGGGGAAAGGATGGCCTCTTCAGTAAGTGGTGCTGGGAAAACTGGACATTCATATGTAGAAGAATGAAATTAGACCTGTAACTCTCACCATATACCAAAATCAAGTCAAAATGGATTAAAGATTTATCTATAAGACCCAAAATTATAAAACTCCTAAAATAAAACATAGCGGAAACACTTCAGGAAGTAGGACTGGTCAAAGACTTTATGAACAAGACCCCAAAAACACAGACAACAGAAGGAAAAATAAGCAATTGGGATTATATCAAATTAAAAAACTTCTGCACAGCAAAAGAAATAGCAGAGTAAAAAGACAACCTACAGAATGGGAGAAAATATTCACAAACTATGCATCCAACAAGGGATTAGTATCCAGAATGTACAAGGAACTCAAACAACTTAACAGTAAAAAAACATGTAACTGAATTAAAAAATGGGCAAAGGAGTTGAAAAGGCATTTCTCAAAGGAAGATAAACAAATGGCTAACAGACATGAAAAAATGCTCAACTTTCACTAAGCATCAGGGAAATGCAAATCAAAACCATGTTGAAATATATCATCTCACGCTAGTTAGACTGGCCAGTACCAAAAAGACAAGGAATAACAACTGCTGGCAAGGATGTAGAGAAAGGGGAACCCTCCTACACTGCTGGTGGGACTGTAAATTCATGCATCATACGTATGGAGGTTCCTTAAAGAACTACAGATAGAACTTTCATCTGATCCAGCAATCCCACTGCTGGGTGTATTCCCAAAGGAACGGAAATCATCATGTCGAGGGGACACCTGCACTCCAATGTTCACTGCAGCTCTATTTACAATAGGTAAGAGTTGGAACCAACCTAAATGTCCATTGATGGATGACTGGAAAAGGAAAATGTGGTATATATACACAATGTAAAAGTACTCTGCCATAAAAAGGAATGAAATTTTGCCATTCACAGCAACATGGGTGAACTTAGAGAAAATTGTTAAGTGAAATAAGCCAGGCACAGAAAGAGAAATACCATATGTTCTCGCTCATAAGTGGGAGCTGAAAGAAAAAAGTAAACAAACAAAAAGAAAGAAAGAAAGAACAATCACAATAATTCCTTGAACTCTCAAAAGGAGAGAACAGAACTGAAGACACCAGAGGTGAGAAAGGAGGAGGGGGTGGGGGGTTAGGGAGAAATTGGTAAAGGGCCCCTCAAAATGTTTACATTTTGTAATTATAAAAATAAAATAAAATAAAATAAAAAATAATTAAAAAAATAAAGAGACATGTGAGAATCTTTCACTCTCTCTCTGCTCCACCATTTTCTACTATGTGAGACCCCTGTGTTGCTGCAAAGCCACCAACAAAAAAGACCCTCATCGTAAGTGTTCCCTGGACTTTGAACTTCCCCACATCTGAAACTGTAAGCAATAAGTTTCTTTTTCTTTCAAATTAATATATATACATACACACACACACATATATATATATATGGTAGGAGAAATAACTTTAGAGACACAGAGTTTGAATTCTGCTTCATATTAACTGGTAAACGAGCAAATTATTGATCTTTCAGAGACTCAGCTTCATTCTTAAAAATGTAGTACTACCTACATGCAGGATTTTTTAGAGACTGAGATAAAGAATGTAAAGTTCAGGTACAAACTAGGTATTTAATAAATTTTAGTGTGTGTTTGTGTGGGCCTATTCACAATTATTAAGCGTTTACTATATTTCAGGCACTATGTTTGTAAGTACTACTACTATTTTCATTTTACAGATGAGAAACTGAGGCTTGGACTAAGTAAAGGAGGTAATGCATCATAATGGAATGGTGGGGGCCATGTAGCAAATCAGACCTGGTTTAGAATCCCAGGATACCTAAATGTTTGAGTGGGCATGAGACTTAATATCACTTTACTTATCTATAAATTGGAGATAAGAATACCTATTTTGCAGTATAACTGAAAGGAAAATTAGAAATAATATATACAGATAAGCCCTAAGACTACTTGTAAGTACTCGAGAATTGGTAGCTGCTAAGCAGATGATTTATTTAAATACAGTCTGCCCTCCAAATCCATGGGTTCTAAGTCCGTGGATTCAATTAACTGTGGATCAAAAATATTAAACAAAATTTTTGTCTGTACTGAAAATGTACAGACTTTTTTCTTGTCCATTATTCCTTAACCAATAGTATAACAACTATCTACACGGCATTTACATTGTATTAGGTATTATAAGTAATCTGGAGACAATTTAAAGTATACAGAAGGATGTGTGTAGGTTATGTGCAAATACTATGCCATTTTATATAAGGGACATGAGCATGCAGATTTTGATGTCCAAGTGGGTCCTGGAGTAAATCTCTCATGGATACCAATGGATGAATGTACTATACTTCTGCATTAAAATCAAGTGATTTACTCCTGTCTCCATAAGCCAGGCTTGGATTAGATGCCATCACTAATGAGTGATTTAATAACAAACTTTTGGTTTGCTTCCCTTCCCCAGACCAACATAATGCCAACTGCTCTTCAGAACTTTAGAAACTGGTGAGTTCCACACCCAGCCCTACATGATTCACATTTGTGACTGCCTGTTCCATTACATAGGTAAGGAACTTTAGGAGAAAAAAACTCCTATTCATCTGTGTATATAATGTACCTAGTCTAGTACTTTGCACACAGTAGTTCAATGGACATTTGTAAATATATTTTTATATAAACCTTTAAAATTAGTTTTGGCTATGTCTCTGTTATGTAAGGTTTTTCTGTGCTTATAAAATTTACCAAAATATTTCTGATAATGCAGTATCCTTGAATTAGCAATATTGTTTTTCATAACTGATCAGTTATGATGATTCAAATTGCATCTGAACTAGTGAATCAATACCCAAGAAGAAATAAAATGGAGTATTAAAAAAAAACCTCTTTTTTTGTTCAGTGTTTTTATTCAACATATAGGAAGCATTTACCTATGAAAACATGAATTATAGGAGGCAGTGCAAAGAACCGAAAAAATAAATGCAGGAAACTCAAACAAAACAAGTCAACCTAAATGCTAATCTTCGTTTTCAAAAATTTCTTCGTGAAGAATCTTATTAAATTTGTATTCTAAAGTTGGCCCTGCCATTCGCTAGCTGTGTGTGGTGTTACGCAATTGACTAACTTCCCTATAAAGTAGTCCCCTCCTATCTGTAGTTTCACTTTCCCCAGTTCCAGTTACCAGAGGTCAACTACTGCCAGAAAATACTAAATAAAGAATTCTAGCAATAAACAATTCCTACAGCGGCCAGCCACCAAAACAAAACAAAAACAAAACAATTCCTAACTTTTAAACAGCACGCTGTTCTGAGCAGCGTGATGAAATCCCGTGCCGTCCTCTGCCTTCCCACTCCATCCTGCCCCGGACATGAATCATCTCTTTGTCCAGCAGATGAACATGGTAGATGCTCCCTGCCTAGTAGTCACTTAGTAGCCATCTGGGTTAACAGATAACCGTGGTGGTATCCCAGTGGTTGTGTTAAACGAACCCTTATTTGACTTAATAATGGCTCCAAAGTGCAAGAGTAGTGATGATGGCATATTGTTATGATTGTTATATTTTATTATTAGTTGTTGCTGCTAATCTCTTACTGTGCATAATTTATAAATTAAACTTTATCATAGGTATGTATGTATAGGAAAAAATGTGTAGGATTTGATATTATCTGAGGTTTCAGGCATCACAGGGGGTCTTGGAACGTATCTCCTGTGGACAAGGTGGGATTTTGGTAGGTCAGTTTCTCACCTATATAATCAGATGCTATTCTTGCTCTAACAGTTTCACAGAATTGAGACAAGTTTTTAAGAAAGAAAAAACAACTACAACAACTCTACGTGAAAAAAATATGACAAGTTAAAAACACTGAAGAAAGCAATGCTATTATTAAATGGTATTATAAAATATTTGAAAATATACCCTATATTTAAAAAGCCAAAATTTCTTCTAGAAATTAAGTCTTAAATAAAGGATCCTAGTGTTTAAGTTGTTTCAGGACAAAAAAGGATCTGTGATGCTTTTCTTCCCTTTCATAACCAAGACAACAGGCCCTTCTATCCACCTCTCTTTGGAAGAAGAGAAAGAAAAGAGAAGGTTGTGAGGAGATAAAAAGGAACTAAAAAGATAAGGCAAAAAAAATGTTACCAGAAGTTCGTATCTACTAAAAGTGGAGAAATTGGTACGCTCTGGAAAGGCTGTACCTCCTCAGATGCCAGGGACCAGTGAAACGTTACCAAAAAAACCGAAATGCAGTTCCTCTTTAATTCCTTCCTTTATGTGCTCCCTTTTAAACCAAATGTTACATCAGTAGATCTAGCAAACTCAAGGGGCAAGCAACATCATTTAGTGATGAGTAAATTGTAGCTTGTGCTTCTTCACAACCCGAGCATTTGGCTAACTGGTGGTTTGTATTATCAGATGTTAAGTACAATTTAATGAAACCCAGCAAGTGCTAAACTATGCTTACCTTGTCCTAAAGCATTGTAGTTCTTTTAAGACAACTTTTGGTAATACTAAGAAAAGCCTGCAGTGATAGGTCCCTTCAATTGTTGTTCTGATCCATAAGAACCAGATTGAGTAAATAAGATAACTGTCCTAGGTAATTCATATCAACTGCTACTGTGTTTTCGATCTATGCAACATGTAGTGTTTGAGTGTGTATATGTGGGGGAAACCAAGTAATTAAAAAAGTATGCATTTTGGCCTCAATCATAATAAAAATTCTACAGCTTAACTTGGCAATACATCTTAGAAAAGCCCAAATACACCAAATAAAAAGAGAAGTGCAAGAATCCAGGCATCTGTAGGTATTAAAATTTAGAAAAATAAATGTAGATTAAAAAATAAAAAAACAAACAGAAACTTCTAGTGATTCAGGACATTCATTGTATACAACTGGCCTTCATTATACATTTTAAATTTAAATCTGATATATGAGGGTTATGGAAATGTATTTAAAATCTGAAGGTGGTCATTTTAATGAAATGGAAAAGCTTTTTAATGACAAAGAAAAGGTAGTATTCATAGTCTCTGGTAAACGCTCCCACCCCAAAATGGTAGCCTATATCTGTGAAAAATATATAGATTAAAAATTGAACTAAACTGAAAATTTCCATGAGTAATAAATAGTTGTTTAAAGTCCGTCCTAATTTCTAGCATTTCATTTGGCAATTTACCTTTGTTTTCTTTAGCTGAATAACAGCTTCAAGAAAAGTTATCTCTTCAAATGTTCTCAGAACTGGCTCAAGTTCTATTAAACATTCTAAATAAGAAAAAAAAAATACAATTTGAGTTCAGATTGTTCTTAATCATTCAATTGAAATGCTAATATTTACCTGATAAAGCCCCAAGTCAACTTTTTCCTAAACTGATGACATTCCATTGTCTTAAGAGTCTTTATTACTGGCATAAAGATAGACATAGGGATCAATGGAATAGAATTGAGAGTCTAAAAATAAACTTATAATTATAGCCAACTGATTTCTGGCAAAGGTGCTAAGATAATTCAATGGGGAAAAGACAGTCTTTTCAACAAATGGTGCTAATACTGTTGGATATCCACATGAAAAAAAGGTAAATTTAGACCTTTATCTCATACCATACATAAAAATTAACTTAAAATAGATCATAAACCTAAATGTAAATATAGGAGAAAATCTTCATGAACTTGGGTTAGGCAGAGTTCTTAGCTATGACATCAAAAACAGAAAAACAGTATCCATTAAAAACATTGATAATTGAACTTCAAAAACACTAGAAAACTTTTACACTTCAAGACACTATTTAGAAAAAAATAATAAGACACAGACTGGGAGAGTATATTTCCATATCACATACCTGTTATTTGTATCTAGAATATTTAAAGAACTCTGACAACTCAATATAACAAGTAACACAATTAAAAAACAAGTAAAAGTTTTGAATTTTACCAAAGGAGATAATACAAATGGCTAAAAAGCACGTGAAAAGGTGCTTAAAACCATTAGGAAATGCAAATTAAAACTGCAACGAGATAACATCCAATACCAGTATAATAGTTGTAATTAAAAAAGACAGAAATTGGCAGAGAAAAAGAAATACCACATGTTCTCACTCATTGGTGGGAGCTAAAAAATAAACAAATTAATTCACCCACATACACACACAAAAAAACCCGGGGGGTGGGAAGAAGATATAACAACTATACTTTTTTGAAGTTGTTACAACAAGCAAACGGAAAGGACATTCTTGGGGGGGAGGGGAGGGAGGGAGGAGGGAGGGAGGTGTCGGTGATGGGCCATAATAATCATATACATTGTATATTGACAAAATAAAAATTTAACGGAAAAAAAAAAAAAAGACAGAAACTAACAACTGTTGACAATGATGTGGAAAAACAGACACCCTCTTACACAGTTGGTGGAAATGTAAAGTGATGTAGCCACTTTGCGAAACAGTGTGGCAGTTTCTTAAAAGATAAACTGATTATACAACCCAGCAATTTTACTCATAGATAGTTAACTAACAGGAAGGAAAACATATGTTCATACAAAGACTTGTATGTGAATAGTCATAGCAGCATTATTCATATAGCCAAGTGAAAACAATCAAAACGTTCATCAACTGGCCAATGGGTCAACAAAATGTGATACATCCATATAGTAGAACATGAGGGGTCTTCAAAAACTTCATGGGAAGAGTCGTATTTTTAATTCCATTTTTCCGTGAATGTTTTGTAGTACCATTGTATTATTCTGCAATAAACTACTGAACACACTACTGATTCATGCTACAACCAAGGTGAACCTGGAAAATGTTATGCTAGGTGAAAAGAGCCAGTTGTTTATGCTTTTTATTAGCCAATCCCCTTACTATAATCCCCTACTACAGTCAATGCTTTATTTTAAACTTCCTCTATTCACATTATTATGTGATTCTTCTCTCCTAAGTACCTCTTACATGTGAATATAAAATATTGTCGTCCATAAAGTTTTTTTTTTAAAGAATCAGTTGCAAAGAACCATATGTTATTATCATTTCATTTATATGAAATATTCAGAAAAGATAACTCAAAAGAGACAAAATATAGATTACTGGTTGCCTGGGGTTGGATGTGGGAACAGGTAGTGATTACAAACGGATATGAGAAATTTTGGGGGATGACGGAAATGTTCTAAAACTGGATTATGGTGATGGTTGCAAACTCTGTAGAATTACAAAACAATCAACCTACACTTAAAATAGATGAATTTTAAGTAAATTACACTTCAATAAGGTTTTTGGAAAAAGAAACATTTTAATAAAACGATTCCTCTCTCTGCTGTTGTGCTACTTTGCCACTTAATGAGTACATTATTTTAATAGTTGAATCCATTTTTAGGATGTATATTCTACAGTCATTATTTTTTTCAACAAAGCTTTATCGAGCTTTCCTCTTTTCCCCTAGCCTATATTTTTTTACAAAGAAAAAAACAATATAGCTTGCTGTTAATTTTTGAAGCTTATCCTTACCTTTTTCTATTATAATTTTTTTGTTCATTCATATTCATTCTTTTCAGTAGGTTTATCCAAGAGTAGGCACTTTGAGCTTACTTTGATATCTAGAGGTCCTCTTGTACTTTCATGATCTCTCATTTAGTCATATTGACAGTTTGTTTCCTGAATACACTTACGTTTTTCCCTATTACTGATTTTTATTCTAAACTAGATAACAGTGCTTTTTAAGAAATATGATAAAACTACTATCAGATATAAAGCTGAATATTTTTATAGCCTTTATAGCCAATTTTAGTTAAAGAGCCAGTTTAAAAATAATTACACTATGAATTCTTGTTACTAAAGTTTCTGAAGCCATATGTGTGATTAACAAAACACTGCTCAAATCTTCATTCCAACTGAAAAAGCAATGTAATGTATTTTCCATTCCACATACACCCAATGTTCATCAGGGTTACATTTAAAAACTCAAAAGTTGCTAAGATAATGGATTCACATTTTATCTTATTTCCCATCACCACGAGGAAGGGTATGTACCTCCTTTTTCTCCAATGCCACTTCTAAATAGTAATTTCATCTCCTTAACCTGAAATTCTAGCTCTAATTCGTGCCATTGTGTAATACTCACTTTCCCACATACTTCCTGTTTTTCCCTTTTGTTCACTGAAGACTTTGGCTTTTGGCTTACTGACTTCTCCACCCTGCAATGATCAGTACTCTGTAGAACACTTGAGAGGAACCCTCTGCAAATCTCTGGGGCTCTCTCTCTGTGCATCTTTCTCCTCTCTGGTACTTTATATGTCCTATAAACTCTGTCTGCCTTGATCTACCCAGACTTTCAGCCCCACCTCCTCGACTCTGAGTGCCCACTGGGCTCCACCTCAGTTTCCTTTTCCTGTGCTGTGTCTAGAAACTCTCAAGGCAGTATGCTGGGCAATCATCAGGCTCAACTCATTTGTTTTTCATTTCTCAGAGTGTTTCCTGATATCTAGTGTCTTGAAAACCACTGTTTCATATGTTTTGCCTGGGTTTTTTGGTTGTCTCAGGCAGGAAGGTAAATTGGCCCTTGTTACTCCATCTTGGCCAGAAGTGGAAGTCACTGGTTTCTCTTTTAAATTAATGGCCAAACCTGGGCATTAAACACTACTTAGCAATTCTATTAGGCTTCCCAAATAAATTTATGATTGCATTCTCATAGATCAGCAGTTCTTAGAGTGTGGTCTAGGGAGCTCTGAGGGTGTTGGTCCCTGAGGCTCTTACAAGAGTTCATGAAGTCAAAACTATTTTCAAAATAATAAATATTAAGACATTATTTTCCCTTTTTACTCTCATTCTCTCACAAGAGTATAGTAGATTTTTCCAGAGATTAAATGAGGTGTGATGTCATCACTGCTCCAACAGTTAATGGAATGTGTTCTTATGCATTCTTATATTTAAAAATTTTCTCAGTTTTAATTGCCAATGTGGTAAATATCTATAGATATGATCCACACAAACAAAATCTCTCAATAATTTTGAAAAGTCCAGATACCTATAAGTTTGAGAATTGCTATCTTAGATGACCATCTTGTACAGCTGGAGGAGACACTTATGTCCTTTCTTCATGTTTCCAAGGTGAAGATGAAATCCCCAGTTTAATATATAAGAAGGAAAAGTACAGGAAGGACACATTTAGCTTCTTTCTGCCCCTCAGTTACTCCCCCTTAAACTTATCTCATTTGTTAATTTTGGAGAAAAACTGAACATGCTTATCTGGTCCCTTCTCAGTTTTCTCTTTCTTTTAGAATTCAGAATATCTAAAGAATGCATAGATTTTCTATTTCCCCACATAGAAGAAGGGTGAGGCCTGTGGTGAGCTGATAAAGCTGTCAATTCCAGAGGCAAAGTATTGCCAAGCCCATTTAGCTGCAGATCTAAAGTACGTTCTCCAATGAGCTTTATCAGTAATAAAGCTGATATTTTGACCCCCATCTGTCTTTCTTCTGTGGCTTTTCTTAATATATTCTGAACTTAGGAAGGGAAGACAGGGGTAATAGGTATCGTACCTTATTTTTCTTTTCTTAAACTTCCATCTTTCTTTTGAGATGATCACCTATTCTCATACTACATTGAGAAAACAGAAGCCATGAGAGGGAACTCCCTCGAGTTCTACCACCAGATCTAGAAACTTGTATCTATCTTTCCTGCTTTATCCCTTGTATAGTGGAAAAAAATGTCCATATACTCATACAAATGTTAACAGTATCACCTCTGCTCTGAATACCGTTTCCTTCACCTCTCTTTCATTCCATTCCTTACATTCTCTCTTAGCTCTTGTACTGCCAATCTCTGCCTATTAGATCATTCTATTATTCTATTATTGTCTCCTATCTTTATGTAGGGAAAAAATCTTGACCCCATATCATCCTTTAGCTACCACCTCAGTTTTCTGCTCCCACTCAGACATAAACACCTTGTAGATATTGTCCATACGTGTCTCCACTTCTTTCTCTCTAATTCTTTAACATACATCAGTCTTCTGTTTTCACATCTTCACTAAAACTACATTTGTTTCGGTTACCACGATGACAATATTGGAGAATTCTACTCATCTTATTTGGCCTCTTGGCATATTAGACATGGCTGACCACTCCTTTGAAACTTTCCCTCTGGTGGCTTCCAAGACATAAGAGACTACATTATCTACCGTCCTCTCTTCCTCAATCTCTTTTCCTCTTCCTCTAGACAATTTCTAAGTATTGAAATGCCTCAAAGCTCTAACGTGGGTCCTTTACTCTTTGCTACCTATATTCTCTCCCAAGGTGATACAGTCCAGACCATATATACGTTGGTGATGCTCAGTTTTATATCAGGAGCCCCGGTCTTTCCCTTGAACAACAAATTCATGTATTATTGTAGTAGTAGCTATAATTATGATTGTGTCCACATTTTGGTCATTATGAATTATGCTGCTACGACTATTCACATGCAAGTCTTTGTGTGAACATATGTTTTCATTTCTCTTAGGTTACTTCTGTGAGTGGAATTGCTGGAGTGTATGGTAAATTTATCTTTCATTTTTAAGAAATTGCCAATTGTTTTCCAAAGTGGCTGCATCATTTTACATTCCCACCAGCAGTGTATGAGGGTTCAGTCTTTCCATATCACTGTCAACACTTGTTATTTTCGTTTTTTTTAATAATAGCTATTTTGGGGGTATAAAGCAGTATCTCATTGTGGTTTTAATTTGCATTTCATAATGACTAATAATGTTAAGCATCTTTTCATGTGCTTTTTAGCCATTTGTATATCCCATCTGAGGAAATTTAAATCTTTTACTCATTTTCTAATTGCATTATTTGTATTATTATTGAGTTGTCAGAATTCTTTATATATTCTAGATTCAAGTCCATTAGCAGATACATGATATGCAAATATGTTCTAGTCTGTGCCTTGCTTTTTCATCTTATCTTAGTAGAATCTTTTGAAGTGCAAAGTTTCCAATTTTTTTAAAAGTCCAATTACAATTTTTTTTTTCTTATGAATCCTGTTTTTGATGTCTCTGCCTAACCCAAGGTCATGAAGATTTTCTCCTATTTTACATTTAGATGTCCTGATCCATTCTACCTCTGCAATATATCTTAATTCTGTGTAACTTTTCTATCTCCAGAATTACTACCTTAATTAGAAAATCCTGAAACAGACTCCTAGCTGGTTTCTTTGTTTCCACTCTTGCCTTTCTCCAATTAATCTTCCACACAGCAGCAAGAGTGATTTCACCTAAACTTAAATTAGATCGTGTCACTTCCCTGCAAAACACACTTTAATGGCTCTCCATTGCACTTGGAATAAAAATCTAACCTTTTAACGATGGCCAACAGCCTCTTCCTTCCCTCTCCGTCATCTCATATTATTCCTTTCCTTGCTCACTATATTCCATATATTTAGCTACAGAAGCATTTTCTTTGTTCCTTGCAAATACAAAACTCTTTCCTCTTCTAGGCTCAGGGTCTTTACCCTTGCTGTTTTCTCTGCCTGCAACTTTCTTTAGCTTTTGAATGAGTGGCTTCTTTTGAAGCTTCAAATCTCAGCTCAAATGTTTGCTCCTAAAAAAGACCTTTCCTTCCCTCCCTTAACTGGACTATTACCTTACTTATTTCCTCACAGGAGTTCCACAGTCTCTTGTGTACTTGTTTTCTCTCTGCCTTCTCAACTAGAACGTGAGCTCCAGGAAGTTAGTGATTTAGATGGCCTTATTCACTACTCTATTCCCAGTGCTCGCTCCTGTATGTACAAAGGACATGGTATGTGTTCAATAAATACTTGTTGAATACCTGAATGGAACTATTACTCCTATCAGATGACTTTTCTTTTCTGTTAGGAATTCTCAGTTCTTCTCTAGAAGCAGTTACTCATATATGTTATAAATAACAAGAGTGAAAAGAATTTAAACAACTGCTATGAGCTAGTCATCTAACTTGCATAATTTTTCAGGGATTATTTATTCATAGTATATAAGCTATTTCTGTAATTCAAAAGATCCAGATTAAAACTGTATACTCACTTAAGAAAGATGGTCTTTCATCTGGATTTTGTGCCCATCCACTTTCTATGAGAGAGATCATAAGTGCTCGATGAGGTATATCAAATGGCAAACTTTCTTCATTAGTGTCAGGTCGATGTCCCTGTGACACACTATACATAATCTGCAAAGGATTGGTGACTTCTGTCAAAACAAATATATTTCATTCCTTAGAAATATATTATGGTCTAGTAATATTAAATACCTTCCAAAATTAACCAAAATAAAATCATGGAATTTAAAAATTTTAGAAATAAATCATTACCCCCTTTCTGTAAAAGGAATATAAATCCCAGCCATTGCCAGACTTATCTGCCTCCTGTGGGAGGCATTTATATCCTCACCTCCTTAAGTCTGGGCTCGGCCATGTGATTTGATTTGATTTGGTCAATGGAATGTGAGTAAGGCAGAGCCATGCAGAACTCAGCAGAGCTGAGTAAAACCTAGTAGATCCAAGAGGGGCAACAGCAACTAATATTTAATGTGAATGAGAAATAAATGTTTATTTTGCAAGTTATTGAGATTCTGAGGTTGCTACACAGCAAGCTGATCTATACAACCTCAAAATAAATAAACAATATTATCAGAGAATGAAAAGGACAGATTATTCTTCAATGTTGGCTGGTTTCTATAGAAGAAGTACTAATTAAATTTTCACTTAAGAAGTTTTACAGCTGGAATCGATTTTAGAAATAGTGATTCAAAACTCTTGTTTTGCGGATGACGAAAATGAGGACTCAAAAGATTTAGTGGCTTAATCATAAAGCTAATTATTGTCAGAACAAGAATTAGAATCTAGGTTTTTCTGATCCTTAATCCAGTACTTACCAGTATACAGTGGATTCACAACTGATCCTTAATCTAGTACACTTTGCAGTGTATGATAGATTCACAATTGATAATGTTTTTATAGTGTGTTTTCTACAAAATGAATGATAGGCAGATTTAAAGTAAAATGAACTTTAAATAGTTCTGAGTGTGGCCTACAAACACAATGTTATTGAGAATAACAGAATCAAAGTATACTTACCTTCAAAAGGCTGTTTTCTGGATAATACTTCCCATGTGATAACTGCATAGCTATTCAAGACAAAAACATATATATCACACATTATAAATAAACTCTGCATAATAAACTAAAATAGCACTAAATTTAAAAGCTGACTGTGGAGATATCATTTTGAAAGTGATAAGGTAGTGAAATGCTGCATAAAGAATCACTTTATACAAGCAAGATGATAAACACTCAAATACAGTTTTGTTTTGAAAAGAAATCAACCTTAATATGAAAAATTAGGAAATTACTGTAATAAAAACTTAAAATTACATGCAATGACAACTTTTTGTGGATGATTTAATATTAAGTTTAATTCTTGATTCTATTTTTCATACAAAATAAACAGCAATTAAAAAGATTGCCTCATGTAGCTGTATTATATTGGTTTTTTTCTGGCCTCAGTACTATCTTCTTTGGTAGTGAAAATATTCTACCTATGATTCAAATTCAGTTGTTAATCACTTGGTTAAGTTGCATCAAGTTTATATTTGGGATAAATGACTAAATAGAATATAGGAAATTTGCCACACCCCCAGATTAACTGTGCATTCATAATGGACACATGGCATTGATTTTGCACCAACACATTGTCTTGGAGGGAGAGTGAGGATTACAGAGGGAATTCTCACCCAAATCAAGGAACAATATTTCCTCATTTTCTCTGACAGGGAATACTGAAATTGAACATAAGGGCATAATTCACAAAATTAATAACAGACATTTAAATTGGTCCATTTTTATAGTATCAACCCAGCTTTCAAAAATTGTTGGCTAGCACATGCTCTTTACCTTGGAAGATATAAATAGTTTTTGTTCTTCCCTCCCTCAGTGCAGCATTCAAAATGAACTACAGATATCAGGGAACAGAATATATGAAAGAAATTTATTCATATAATAACATGAATGTAGAAGACACTGTAGTAGGTGTTATAGTGCAGCCACCCAAATAGATTGGCCAGCATTGGATTTAATGAAAAGTACAAAAATTAAAATCTTTTTGGAGAAAAGAGATACACAATTTAATTAAATATATAATTTTACGTTAGAGATATAGCATTCATTCCTAAAGGAATTAATTTTTACCAGGCTAATTACTTATTAATGACAGCAAAAAAGCCATTTTAAAGAGTTATTAAATGTATTCACTATAAATGCAGTAAGTCTGATTTTGCATTCATTATCATGTTAGAAGAGACAAGTGTAAATTATACATGAGGTTAATGTCCCCACCCCTAATACTAGGCATTACAAATGATCATCTTCCTTTTCTCTGGTTAAGTAACCAGTATCAAGAACAATGTGTTATGCTTATTTCTGCATTATGAGATTATAAGTAATCTGCATCTGAAACATGAAAACATGATCTTACCAAACACATTGATTTGTTGTAAAACGGTTTACACATATACAAATATTAGGAATTCTCTTTCTTTTCTCTCTCTCTCTCTTTTTTTTTAAAGATGACTGGTAAGGGATCTTAACCCTTATGTTAGTGTTGTCAGCACCACGCTCTCCCAAGAGAGTAACAGGCTGGCCCCTAAAAATTCTTTAAATAAAAACATCCCCATGGGGGCCGGCCCGTGGCTCACTCGGGAGAGTGTGGTGCTGACAACACCAAGTCAAGGGTTAGGATCCCCTTACTGGTCATCTTTAAAAAAAAAAAAAAAAAATCCCCATGATTTTATTAAGATGATTAAGAATTTGTTTATTTCTTTAAAAAGATGTGTAGATCTCAAAAGACTGAAAGGTTGAATAGGATGAGAATCTTTTTTTTTTGTCTTTTTTCTGTGTCTGGCAACGGATCACAACCCTCAGTGTCGCCCCCGTACCGGACCGGGACCAGCAACGGGATCGCAACCCTCGGTGTTGCTCCCGCGCCTCGCTCAGCCAGTGAGCGGGAACCGGTCTGTATGTGGGATCCAAACCCTCGGCGGGAGCGCCGCCGCACTTCCCAAGCGGCGCACTATAGCAGTGCGCCACCGGGCCGGCCCTAGGATGAGAATCTTAAAGGTAAAATGTTAGAAACCATTGTTTACCTTTGCTTCCCCAAGTCATGTATGATAAATACCCTTGCGTATTATCATAAATTGACAGAATCATAAATTGACCGAACAAGAAGATATGCTTTAAAAAATTTTAAAGGATGTAAAAGTTGCTTAAAACAAGGCATTTTTAATTTGAAAAATATTAATCACTGTGGCCTCTAGTATATTTTCACCACAGTCATGAGAGAATAATAAAAATCACTTTAAAATGTAGCTTCAAAATTGTTTAATCTTATGTTTGGGACAAAGTTAACTTGGAACAAAAGCAACTTTACTGTACCTGTATATATCATGCTTGACACTGGCCCTTGATTTCTGTCCAGGTTCATAGTTTTCAGGTGGCATATAGATAATTGTTCCTCCTTCTGGTGCAGATTTGCTACTTCGTGACTGTGAGAGGGACATCATGCGCCATTTTGATAACCCAAAATCTGCAATCTGTAAAAGAAAAGAGTACATTATTGAATTTAGAAATATTCTCTTTAAAAAGCCCTCAAATTGACTGTCTTTGTGTATATTCACTGTATTTAGATATAAGACCAGAGGAAATGTTATATATATTAATATTTTATTTCTATATATTCCATTAGCTTCTTACCAAATTACATGCCATTGCACTGAGCCAAATAATTTCAGAAACAATACATACTGACTTGAAGTTTAGCACAATAAGAGAAATTTCAAAAGAGAGACTAAGTTTTGAAAAATTAAAGAGAAGTATTTTTTGCCTGATATTCTGAATGAGTGCATATACTGAACATTTTACTTTTTATGACAAGCAGCTTTATATCATGTCTTTTCCAAATTCACCTACATTTTACAGAACTGTTAAGTCTACTTATATCTCACACAATTGTCACTGGGCATTGTTTACAAGTCAGGTTTATATGGTCTTATTTGTAATGCACTAAAAGTAGTATCCTTAAATTCTGAAATAAGCAACATCCCAATAATAGTAAAGGTAATTATTATATGCTTTATGCCTACCACTAAAAGGATCACATCTGGTGGCAACAGTATAGTTAGCACAAAAAACATATTTATATCCATGATAATGGGTGAGTAAAGAATTATCAGTGACAAGCATTTTGTACTTTTGATATGTCTGTTATAGTTTTACTTCAATTGTAAATATTGTGCCGATGTTATACAATATCTTACAATTCTACAAATATTTAAAAGTTTCCTTATTTTTAAAAAATGGAAGACAAAACGTAAATACAGAAACAATGTTTAGTGGAGTGAGCTCCATCCAGCACACCATTTGTTTTGATTATTTAACTATTAGGTTTTTACTACTTTTAACAGAAGAAATAATTTTTATCAGTGTTAGATGAATTTGAGATGAAAAAAAATTGTGGCCCATACCCCAAAAAAGGAGGGGTAGAAAAATGAATCTTTTATACATTAACTATAATAAAAGGGAAAATCTAAGAAAAAAAATATACATAATACTAAGAATATTTTAAATTCTATTCATAGCAAAGAAGTACCAAGGATACTTTATTGCTTGATGAAAAAGAGAAGGTAGAGGTTATCAACAATTACTTTGCTTCTGTTTTCTCTATCAAGGACAGTTTCTGGACTAAGATGAAGAAAATGATGTACAAGGAAGTTGAAATGTTTATAAAATCCAAGTACCTTTATTTCAAGTTATTGAGAGTCCACAGTGCTATTAGTGTTCTTTGTGGGACAAAATGGAGAGATGCTATAGGATATCAGAAAAGTAAATGTCAGTCTGATTTTTAAAAAAGTTGATTTTACAAATCTACATACTAATAGGAAACTACTATCCTTAAACCCTGCTGTCTAAGTCCAACACTGTGTGAAGCCTCTTTTTTTTAAAGGCCTTAATCTCATTCAAGAGGGAGGAGCCCTCTTGGCCTAAACACCTCTTAAAAGGCCCCAACTCTTAATATTACCAAAGTGTCAACATCTGAATTTTGGATGGGACATATTAAAACTAAGCATTCCACTTTTGGCCCCTCAAAATTCATATCCTTCTTACATACAAAATACATTCATTTCATCACAATAGCCCCCAAGTCTTAACTTGTTACAGCATCAACTTTAAAGTCAAAGTCCAAAGTCTAATCTAAACATCATACAGGTAAGACTCAGGTAAAATTCATCCTGAGGCAAATTTCCCTCTAGCTATGAGCCTGTGAAATCAAATAAATTATGTGCTTACAAAATACAATGGTAGGACAGGCATGCAATAGACACTCCTATTCCAATAGGGAGAAACAGGAAAGAAGAAAGGAATAACAGGTCACAAGTAAGTCCAAAACCCAACAGAGCAAACAACATTAAATCTTAAGGCTTGAGAATAATCTACTTTGACTCCATGTCTCACTTTGACTTTTGTACACACTTGTGCAATGTGGATCCCAAGGCCTCAGTTAGCCCCATTCCTATGGCTTTGTTCGGTGTAGCTCATGCTTCAGCTCTCACACAATGAAGTCATGCTGGCATTGCACACTGGTGGCTCTACAGGTCTGGGGTCTTGAAGGTAGCCCTACCTCCACAGCTCCACTAAGCATTGCCCTAGTGTGGATTCTGTAGCAGCTCAGCCCTGCTGCAGGTCTCTACCTAGGCCCCGAGGCTCTCCAAGGTATCCTTTGAAATCTATGTGGAGGAAGCCATGCTTCCACTGCTTTGGCACTCTGCATGCCTGCAGAACTAGCACTACATCAATGCCGCCAAGGCTCACTGCTTGTGCCCTCTGAAGTGGGGGCCTAAGTCACACTTGGGCCTGCTTGAGCCACTGCTGGGATAGATGAGGAGTACTGCAGTGGAATACAAGAAGCAGAAACCTGAGTTGACCCTGGGCTTTGAGCCCTGAGGTCCCACAGTTGCTCTGAGCTCCTCCCCCTAAATCTGTTCTACTCCCAAGGCCCTAGCACTCTGAGCCTGTGATGGGTGTGGCAGCCTAGAAGATCTCTGAAATGGCTTTAGTGTCATTCTTTCATTGTCTTGATGAATAGCATCTGGCTTCCTTCTTTCATACTTATTTCCTTATTAAAAGGTCACTTGCTCACATCTTTGGTTTTCTCTCCTAAACATCATTTTTCTTTCTTTACATGGCCAGGCTGAGAATTTTCCAAATCTTTAGATTCTCCTTCCCTTTTGATTATAAATTCTCTCTTTAAATCATTTCTCTCTTCTTGCATTTTACTATAAGCAGTTAAGAAAAGCCATGCAACACCCTGAACATTTTGCTGCTTGGAGATTTCTTCTGCCAAATATCCTAGTTCATTGCTCTTAAGTTCTGCCTTCCCCAAAATCCTAAGACGCAGACATAATTCAGTCAAATTCTCAGCCACATTACAACAAGGATGACCTTTCCTCCAGTTTCCAATACATTGTTCCTCCTTTCCATCTCATACCACATCAGAATAGTCTTTACTGTCCATCTTTCTACCAACATCCTCTTCACAATCACTTAAGCAATCTCTAATTAGAATAAGGCTTTCTCTACAGTTCTTCTCTTCTTCTCAGCCCTAATTAGAATCACACTTAATGCTCTGTTCACAGCAATCTAGGCTTTTCCTAGCATTCACTTCCAAACTGTTCCAGCTTCTTTCCATTACCCAGTTCCAAAGTTGCTTCCACATCTTTTGGTATTTGTTTTAGCAACACCCCACTTATCTGGTACTAATTTCTGTCTTAGTTTGTTTGTGCTACTATAACAGAATACCACAGGCTGAGTATTTTATAAGGAACAGAAATTTATTTCTTACACTTCTGGAGGCTGGGAAGTCTAAGATCAAGGTGTTGGCATTTGGTCTGGTGAGGGCCTTCTTGCTGTGTTCTCACATGGCAGAAGGCAGAAGGTAGAAGGGCAAGCTAGCTGACTTTTTGTTGACACTAAGCTCAATTTGAATAGTATGATATGACTACCTCCCAGAAGTTGATGAATTATTATGGATCTATTAAGTATTTAGGACCAGAGAAATGACACTTTCATTCAGTTCTACATTTATTAGACCACACCAAAAGTATTTTGTTCAGTTGTGAGGATCAAAATCTAAGAGAGATTTAAACAAACAGATACATCTACATAGCACCAGGGATTAAAATCCATGTAATAAGGAAAGTGGTTGAAGGAGCTAAAGGTATTTACAAGGGAGAAGGATGAAATGCAAGTGTATGTGAGGAGCTGTGGGAACATAGCTATCTTCAAATATTGGAGGTGCTATCATGTGGAAGTAGAATGGGATTTATTCAGTTTATCACGAAGAATGGGTGAAAGCAACCAGTAAGGAATTTTGATTGATCATATAAGAAAATGTCATAGTCGTTCAAGTAAGGACGTTAAGAAGCCCTTGTCACAGGATAACTGCCTTGGGAAATAGGGATTGTTTTAGCGAAGATTCAGAAGACTAGCTGACTATTAAGGTACCTCTACCTGTTGGTTCTGTAACTGACTCAACAGATTAGACTTTTTTTTTTTTAGCAATACTGAAGCAGCAGCTTGCTTCTCTCTTCCTTCACTTACCATTTTGTTCTAGGGAGAAAGTGTCTTTAATAAAGATTTATTTTTTTCACTTAATTTTTTCTCATATTTTTTGTTTCAATTTTCCTATTGTTCCAACTTCTGCATTACTTATGTCTTTAAACTTTTTTATATTTATAATAATCTTCTGATCATGTATATTGTAAAGCAAAATAATATATAATAATACAGTGAGTTACATTTAGTATTAATTACTCAGAAACTACTTTTTATTTACTGTTATCAATTAGACATAGGATAACTGTGAAATCACTACTACATCTGGTGTCTTTAGCACCTAAGTCTTGTACCGTATACAAAAATGAATTCAAAATGAATCATATATTTAAGTGCAAAACATAAAACTATAAAACTTCTAGAAGATAATATAAAAGGGGCTGTCTGGTCAGCTCACTTGGGAGAGCATGGTACTTGTGACACCAAGGTCAAGGGTTCAGATGCCCATACCAGCCAGCTGTCAAAAAAAAAAAAATGCAGAAAATCTTCAGGACCTAGAGCTTGGTGAAAAGTGCTTAGACATGACAGTAAAAGCATGATCCATAAAAGAAAAAACCTTGATAGATCAGACTTCACCAAAATTAAAACTTTTGCTCTGTGAAAGTCCCTGTTAAAAGAAGAAAATGACAAACTATAGACTGGGGGGGAAAATTTGCAAACTACATGTCTGATGAAGGACTCATATCCAGAATATATAAAGAACTCTCTAACTCAACAGTAAGGAAAAAAAATACCCTAAAGAATCCAATTAGAAAATGGGTTTAAGAGATTTGGACATTTAAATGGGCTTAAGATATTTCATAGAAAAGGATATATGGATGGAAAATGAGCACGTGAAAAGGTGTTCAATATCATTACCCATTAGGAAAATGCAAATTAAGACCATAATGAGATATCACTATACACCTATTGGCACAGCTAAATAAAAAACAGTGATAATACCAAATGCTGGTGAAGATGCAGAAAAATTGGATCCCTCACACATTGCTGATGTAATGTAAAATACTACAGCCACTCTAGAGAATAGTTTTTTTTTTTTAAACAAAACATACCCTTCCTTACCATATGATCCAGCTGTTGCTCTCTTGGGAATTTATTCCAGAGAAATGAAGACATGTTCACTTATAAACCTGTACAGGATTGTTCATAGCAGCTTAATTGTAATTGCCAAAAACAGGTAAAATGTCCTTCAGTAGGTGAATGGTTAAATAACTGTGGTACACCTATACCATGGAATACTATTATCAATAAAAACCAACTACTGATAAAAGCAATAACTTAAATGGATTTCAAGAGCGTTATGATGTGTGAACAAAGCCAATCTCAAAATACCACATACTATATGATTCCATTTACACAGCATTCTCAAAATGACAAAATTATAGAGATGGAAAACAGATTAGTGGTTGTCAAGGGTAAAGGGTGGTGAAAGGGAAAACGTGGGTGTGACCACAGAGGGGTAGTACGAGCAATTTCTTTGTGGTGTCAGAATAGTGATGTACCTTGATTGCTGTGGTGGTTACACAAATCTACATGTGATAAAGTGTCATAAACTATATACACGCATTGTACCAATGCCAAATTCCTTGTCTTGAAATTGTACTGTAATTATGTGTGTTGTAACCAGAGAGAAAACTGGGTAAAGGATACATAGGACCTCTTTGTATTATTTTGCAACATACTGTGAATCTATAAGAACTTCAAAATAAAAAGTAAAACAAACAAACAAAAAAAGGTAATCTCGACAATTTCAATTAAGAAACATAATGACTTTGTATTTGTACCATAACTCTATCTTTGTACTCTAAGAATAACTAAACCACTTCATCAGGAAGAATGGGGACTATAGGAATATGGAAAAGGGAGTGAGATTAAATTGGCTAGGTGGAAGAAATAACTAACAAATCTTTTTAAAACTATTAAGCACAAGGATACAGATAAACTTTTTTTTTTTTTTAATAGATGACCGGTAAGGGGATCTCAACCCTTGGCTTGGTGTTGTCAGCACCATGCTCAGCCAGTGAGCAAACCGGCCATCCCTATATGGGATCCGAACCCGCGGCCTTGGTGTTATCAGCACCGCACTCTACCGAGTGAGCCACGGGCCGGCCCTCAGATAAACTTTTTTTTTCATAGTAATTACCTTAACATGAAATTCATTATCCAATAAAATATTTTGAGTCTTCAAGTCATGATGAAGTAAAGGAGGATTCATATTGTGCAGGTAATTTACGCCAAGTGCAATTTCATGCAGGATGCGAAATCTCAAAGGCCAAGCAACAACAGGATATTCAGTTTTCTTCATATATATGAAAAGAAAGAAAATGAAAATTAGTCCAAATTTCACTACATTTCATGCTTAGAGAATTAAATATTTCATGAGAAAATATAAACTAAGGTTGAAACCTATGCTCATTTTTATAACATAGAATCAGTTTGATACAGGGAACTTCAAAAGATTTACGGAAAGATTCTTATTATCTTTTAATTCTATTTTTCCACAAACTTTTTGAAGTGTCTTATTTTGTTTAACATTCTTGTACTTTACTATCCTCACTTTTTAGAGAAAGTGATAACTTTATAATACTGATACTTCCTTTTAGTTTATATTGATTATGCAACCACATGGTATTAGGTCTTCTTTCTCCAACCGACACAGATCTCAAATATTTTGTATCTATATATAGCCAGACACACATACCTATACTGTTCATATCCACCTCCCTGTTCTATGGCTTAATGAAGTAACTTGTGCATGCACACACACACACAATTCCACACAATTTGTTTCTAGCACATACAAAACCGTTCATTCAAAATTTATATTTTAATTTTTCTATTGATATAAAACCATACATTATTATTACAATAATCAGTGCATCAATTAAAAATTATGACCATATTATATTTATTGACTAAGCATTAATAGCTTATACTTTTAATTATATAATTAATTAATCTGCATTCCAGTTTGCAAAATTAACCTTTGAGAGTTTTGTTTTTGTGAAAGAGACAAAGATCATTTTTGTTTTCAACCCATATTATACAGATGCATTTAAAACATAATGTTTTATATTTCTTGGTACTTATAACCAATAGCCACCTAAGCTTTCTTAAAATAAATGTTTTCTGAACATAAAAGTTAATGCAGCTCCCCAGGAGAATGAACATAGAAAAATCATACAATTTGGGAAAACAGACAATGAATCATCAGGCATCATGCTATTGGGTACATTTTTCTAAATGCTATCCTTCTACTGAAAACTCAAAACTGTTCTTGAGAATTTTTTCTGCAAATGGAACAGCTTATAGTTCAGTAATCAACCCGACAGGGGGAGTGGCTTTAGATTGCTTATATTGCATTTCCGTACTTTTCAATGATCTTTTTGTGAGGTTGGGGGAGGGTGCTTCAAGATAAATCCTACCTTAAGTCCTTTCTAAATTTTCAGGAAATCAGAAGAAACACAAAAAACTAACGTGGAACACATTATTTCCTCAGGTATACACAGAGCCCCATCCTCTAGAGTAACTGGATCTTTTAGTATGTAAAAAAGTAATGTTTTCTGAAAATTATGCGGTTTAAAGGAGTAACCAGGCCTCTCCGCAGCATAGTGTTATATGGAGGGTTATCACAGAGATAAGGGTAGCAGAGTGCTCACTCTATATTTTATGATTCCTTCCAGGAGTTAGCAATCCCCCTGGAAGAGGCTGTAGAATCTCTAGTGGGCTCTAAATTTGGGTGCCAGAGTATCTACGGGGGTGTAGGAAGAAAACCTTAGAATTTCTACTTATAATAACTTCTAAAAAAATTAAAATAAATCATGCTTTATCAATATTTATATCTTAATTGCTATGGTAATTACACAAATCTTACAGACTAACACCAGTAACTTTACTCCGTCCTTGTTGCAGACGGTCATAAGTCATAGACAGAATGCGATATATTCTGAAACGAAGAGGAATTTACTCCACGATTGGCTGACAGTGGCACCCACTTTCCTTTGGTCACTTACAGAGCGTTGTGATGTATTATAATTTAGGAGTGTCCAGTAATTAGATTTTATGGATTATATTATGCAGTTTTAACTAAACCAACAACACTCACAAAACTGCAAATAGGAAATTAATAATGTAAACAAGCAAAAAACAATAATTGAATACACATATTTTGAGAATGAGGACCCCTGAATATGTTTACTGCAGGAATTCACCATCAAAGCCAGAGTAACTGGTAATGTGAGAAAAAATGTAAATGGCTCATACCACTGTCTATTATGGGAAAAGCTAATGTATCTGGTACTCAGAGATTATTTATTTGGCCTGTTAATTTAGAACTTCATGGACTGAAATTAGTAACATTTAATATGAATCCTAAGTTGTCATTAATATAAAATAAAATATGGCTTAACAGTGGATTGTAGAGTGTGGAGAATTTATTTTTTCTCTTTTCCATTCCTACCTGTGTATATATATGCATGTAGATACTGGAATTCAGTATAAACATCAGGAACAGTAACCTAAGCAAAATAACCTAGGTCCCTTAGAACACAGAGCCTAACTCCACAGTATTTTTATCAATGCAAAAGAAGCCCCAAAGGTAAAACTTTACCACATGACTGTTTTTCATTATTTTTGCTTTGCTTTGTCTATATATCCCCCAAATAATCTGATCAAATGTAAAACCAAGGTACTATATGTAGTCTGAATAACAGAAATGGTAATTATAGGCACTGAAAATGTACAATACTTACCCTATGTAGGAGTTCATTTAATGATCCATTTGGCATGTATTCAGTAACTATTCCCAAAAATTCTGGCTCATTGCAAATTCCCAAAATTGGAAGAATGTAACTAAATCTAGCTTTGTGTAAAATTTCAGCTTCTCTTAGGACATCATTTCTTTCACTAAGGAAAGAAAATACACAATTATTTCAAATAATGAAAAATACACAATTATCATGCCCATAAGATTAATTAAACCTGGATTTTCATTAATTAGCTATGTGACCTCATATAAATCATGCAACTTCTCTGTCCCTCAGTTTCATCGTATTTATAACAGAGATAATACCTATCCTATATATTTCACAGGTCTGTTTAGAGACCAAAATAACTTCTATAAACCACTGACAGGTAAAAGTGCTATATACAGGTTATTATATTGTACTTTTCCTAGGAAAGGGAAAGAACACAGTGTTAGTTTATTAAGCCTATCAATGTTAGAACGATTGGTGCTTGAACTAATTAAATTATTAAATTTATGTTATATTAAAATGAACAAATTCGATTAGAATATTATATTAAATTTTATGGTTGCATACCATATAAAATTTTCCCAAATATCCTGAATATTAAAACATTTAAATGTTGTAGATTTAAATGACTAGATGATAATAGCTGCATAAAGATCAATAATGCTTAGAAATTATACACCAGAATTCAGGAAAAGAATCCTGAGAACAGGTAAATGTTTACAACTGATATCTGGGGTGACTCTGGATCTCAGGTTCATTTGCTTATTCATGCATAAAACAAAAAATATTTAACTTTCATTATGAATAAAGAACTGTGCTTAGCCGTATGGAGAATATAGAGATATAAATACATAGTCTCTGCCTTCAAGTTGGTTGCCCAGAAATGAAAAAAAGAAAGAAGAGAAAAGAAAAAAGCTATGGGCAGTTCAGAGAAAAGAGTGTAAATTTTGGGCTAGGAGAATCACTGCAGTTTTCAAAGTAGGATTTCAGCTGTACCTTAAGGATGGACAGAATTTCAGCACTGGAGAGAGGGCATCTAAGATGGGTGAGGCCTCTACAAGAGCAGAGACCTTGCCTGGGGACCTGTGTATCCCCAGGATTTGGAACAGTGCCTACCACATAGTAACATAGTAGATGTCCAATAGATCTATATTTCAAATGAGTTCAGGAAAGTTAAAGAGAAGGCTATGTTTGGGAAATTGTGAACTGTTTATCACATTCTACTTTACATTGTTATTTCTTTTTCTTAAAAGATTTCTGGGCAACTTGAAGGCAAGATAATATAATATAAAAGGAATGAAGGTGAATAAGATAGGCTAGGGGCACATCTCAGAGTCTTAGGGTACCAGCCATATTAAGAGTACCAATCTACTTCATTTGGCAGTCACTGAGTTGTGGCAGTCACTGAGTTGTGACTGAAGGTTTTTGAAGTAGGTAATGGCAGTAGAACAAAATTTTAGGATGAATAACTTGGCAGTGGGATGTAGGATCAGCCAAAAGAGGTAGAGTTTGAAAGTCAGGCATTAGATTTTAATACTGGTTAAGATGTGAAGTAATGAGAGCCTAACCTATAAAGGTAGCAATGAAAATGGAAAGATAAACACTAGCTTAAATGGAATGCCTAGGTCATGGTGACAGACTGACTGATTGCGGGGGCTAAAAAAAATGGAAGGGAGTTGGAGATGCTATCAGCTTTTACTCTGGATGACTGGGTGTTGGTAGCAGCAATAACAGAAATAGAAACGTTTCCAGGAGAAGCTATTAGGTAAGCGATGATGGTAAGTCAGCTCTTAAACCACCCAAGCTCTAGATCAATGGCTGTTGTAATACGTAGCAACAGACATTCCAGACCTACTTTTAAAACAAACAAAAAACAAAGCGAAAAAAAAGTAGTGATTTTTTCTGAATAGGTAATATAGTGATATGTTTCAAAATTCAAGAGAAACTAGAAGGTATAAAGTGAAAAGCTCTCTTTCTCCCTGTCCTTCAATCATTTAATACCCCAACTATGAGGAAACCAATTATATCAGCTTGTGAGACCTGTTTTAATTAACCTTGTACTGAGAAGCTGAAACATTTCTGTGTTTGCCCTAAGAAATTGGGCCAACAAGACAGTTATTGTGTAGCACTCGTACAGGCAGATACAAAGGAGTAAACTGAAGATTCCTGAGAAAGAACATTCTTTCTTCCTCCCATTAAGAGTATGAGGCATTCTTCCTTCTATTGTGACCCTATTATGTATCAGTCACTTTACATGCACTGTTCAGATCAACCCTCTAAATTGGTTTCATTATCCCCACTTTTATATGAGGGCACTAAGACTCAGAAAAATTAATAATTTTCTAATGGCTACACCAATAATAAATGGCAAGGTTGGAGTCAGATTTGGACGGCACTCATGTGACTCTAAAAAATAAAAATAAAAAACACAGTTTCTTTAGACATATCAACAAAATTACCCAACTTAAAATTTCAATAAAAAAACAGTTATGTCATCTACAGGATATCTCAACAACCAATCGAACTCATCTACTCATAAGGGGTGGGAATATTGTTAGGGAAGTTTCACTTATTGGAAAGAAGCCAGGATATGGAGAATGACTCACCAATCACCAAAATAAGAACATGTAACATCACATAAACTTATTTTTCTTTCAGGTGATCCCAAAGGACAACGCAAACATTTTCCAGGCCACAGCCCAATAAGTACATGTATTTATTATTCGCACTGTAGAAGTGAGGAAATAGATACTCCATGAGTCAATTGCATAGCCCAGCCCTATGGTCAGACTACATAAATACTGATAATGTTAGGCTCTTAGGTAATAAGTGGGAGAAAAGAATGTGATACAGTAATGCCAGTGTTTCAATGGTCTTATGGCTTCTTTGAAGACAGAATTAATGTTCTACTCAATTTAGTGAAGAATTTTAGACAGTAAAAATTGTTAATGAGTATGGGAAGAGAATTCCCTCTTCACTCCTTGGCCCCCAAATGTCACAAAGCTTAGATGAATTAAAATCTTGAGAAGCAGCATCCAAAATGGGGGGATCAATCATCTTTAGAATACCTAATGGATCCATCAGTGTTACATTTCCATATAATATTTGCCTAGTTGGTCCTCAAATATGACCACCCTCTCTAACCAATGACTATATACACATATGCAGACTTGCTCAGCACTTGCTCCACAGAACATAAGGCCCAGGGTAAACATATACCACACCCTGTATATATCACTGAACCCAGATTATGGTGTACAAAAAGTGGGAACAATCTTTAGGGATGTCCCAAATCTACTATGTAATATAGCCTATCCAAGCCTGACAGTGAGATACAGTCAAGAAAAGCCACAGGCAGATGAAAGTCTAATAAATCTGGTAGGGCTGAAGCTGAGGAATTTATTTGATATCAGTTGCTAACAGCTCTGGCCAATCAGGCATCTATCATGATGTATTATCACATTAGGCACAGGGGAAGGAGGAAAGAATGTTGCAATCATGAACGTTAACTCACTAAAAACTGAATGCAGGGCCTAGTTAAATCCCTGCAGGAAGGAAAATACGCAAGACTGGTGACTAGACCCACTGCCTACTACACACAGTCACAGGCCTATGGTATATAGTTGTAATGTTCTTCTGGAAACAAAAACTAATGCTAACCTTCCCTTAAAACCTGGACATAGCATTAAAATTGTTCCAGGATGTGAGAGACATTAGCAATTTTGGACCATTTAACAGACTTTTGATGCAATTTATTGTTACCAAAAATAATACTCATTTCCTTAGGGATGATCTTTTCTTTCAGAGTGGAAGAAACTGAACTGCTAATGTTGAGTTTGAGATTTAAAACCACAAACGAAACAAAAATAAAAAGCCCAAATCAAAACATCCCATACATTAGAACAGCGCTGTCCAATAAAAATATAATATGAACCACATATACAATTTAAAGTTTTCTAGTGGCTCCATCAGAAAAAAGTAAAAAAAAAAAAAAAGAATTTTAACAATATCTTATATTTAATCCAATATATCAAAATATTATTTTAGCATGTAATCAATATAAAAACATTACTGAGACATCATAACTTCTCTTGTTTGTTAGTACAAAGTGTTCAAAGTCTGGTGTGTATTTTACAATTTCAGCACCTTTCAATTCAGACGGCCACATTTGGAGTGCTCAATAGCCACCTTTGGCTAAAAGCTACCTATTGAACAGTGCAGCCCTACAGCCAGATTTCAAAAAAAAAAAGGAAAAAACAAAGCAAACAGAACCGACACCCACAATATAAACACACATCAACTTCCATATGCAGGGCGTTCAGAGTTGGGCTGTGACTGCTGATTTCGGAGTACGGAAAGAGGATGCTCAGGGCAGTAAGAGAGAAGGGGCAGTGGAGAGAAGAGATGAATGGAGGAATGCGATCATTGCGTCTCTAGAGAGGCCGGTTCTCCCCCGCATGCCAGCCCCAAGCTTGAAGGGCTACCTAGAGGTGACGAAGGGAGCGGGTGGGGCCCAGGTGGGGCCCACCCCAAGTGGTCACTGCCCTTTGGGTTCTAGGGCCCGCTTGCCGCGGGGGCGGGGGGTGCAGCCGAGCTCGGGGCTCTGCCGGGGAACCGCGGTGGCGCCCTACCTGTCGAGCAGCGGCGTGTGGATGTGCAGGTGCTTCACGGCCACCTGAACGCGCCAGTCTGCGTGGCGGGCGGACGACACGGTGCCCGAGGCTCCGCGGCTCAGGTAGCGCAGGTCGGCGAGCTTGTGGTAGGGAATGGTGGGCAGCGCGCTGCAGATGGCCTCGCCGTTCATGGTCACGGGCTGCGCGGGCGCTCAGGCCGCGGCCGGTGCCGGCTGTGCCCGCCGATCCTGCGGCTCCCCGGCCTCCGGAATCCGCCCAGGCTCCGCGGCTCAGGTAGCGCAGGTCGGCGAGCTTGTGGTAGGGAATGGTGGGCAGCGCGCTGCAGATGGCCTCGCCGTTCATGGTCACGGGCTGCGCGGGCGCTCAGGCCGCGGCCGGTGCCGGCTGTGCCCGCCGCTCCTGCGGCTCCTCGGCCTCCGGAATCCGCCCGTGCGCCAGCGAGGCAGGCAAGGCCCTTCCTGCCCCGGGACACTAGGTCACGAGGGCGCCCATTCCCCGGGCGGCCCACGCCAGCCACTGCTTTGCTGGAGCCGGAGTAGACTCTTCTTTCTGGAGACCGGGGTCAAGTTTTTGGCACCGTGTCGCGCCGAGGAGGTGCTTCCTCTTGCGGACCTGGCCCTCCCAGGCGCGCCCCGCCACCCGGCTCCGCTGGCCCAGCTCCTCCCTCCCCAAGCTTCCCAGGCGACGTCAGCCGCACACACAGGCTGGCGGAGGGTCCGCCTCCCTGTCGCCGCCCTCCCACCGGGCTCCCGCCTCGACCTGAGGCCGGGGATCTTCCACCCGCGTCGCGCGGCCCGACGATCTGTCCGACACCACGGGGCTGAGGCGGGCCGGCCGCAGGGGGAAAGGAGGCGAGGCGCACCTCCTCTCTTCTCTTCCCCCAGCCCTAGGTTTGGAAAAGTTTTCCTTTGGGAAAGCCCCTCTCGCTGGCTTGCTGGCCACTGTTGGATTGGGAGAATTCTCCTCTCGGCCGCGGGTCTTACGGGAGTCGCCGAAAGCCCAGAGGTGGCGGGGCGGGCGTGGGACTGGGAGCTTCCAGACGGGGGCGCTCCGGCTCCCGACTCCTGATTGCGCCTGCGCAGGAAGAGTTTCGCGGGAGTTCAGTGACCTCCTCCAGAGGGCTCCTGACTTAATGAGGACGTAAATTCACGCCTATCTGGACTCCAGGCTTCCCTCACTGACAGCCACTTTAGGAGTGAGGGGTGGATGACAAATCCTGTCAACAGTGGAGCGAGTTCAGATGTTTAACTCCCATGGGATCTGCTTTTCTCTCTCTTCCTTCTTACTATCATAAGTATATTCAGAGATTGACAAATAACCTTGAGAGAGTCCATCTCTCTGACTTCGGGTAAGACTGCAAAGATTTCTTTCTTATAGATCTGGGAGGGATGCAATCAGTGTTTAATGCCAATCAAAAAAAGACTGCAAACATCTTTCCCTCTTTCTGCTTTAAACAAACACCTTCCTTCTCAGATGACCATTTGTAGAGTGCGAGTGCAAATATTATATACAATACCAAGTCCATACTAGCTATTTAATGAATTCTAAGACAACAGTAATAAGGAATGACTGAATTGAGTAGAGGATTTCTGCCTACAGAGAACCAATACTTCTTGTATTTTTGCATTACCTAAATGAGAGTAACAATGTTACATTTTACAATCATGGGAAGTTGTAATCAAAAAGTGTGTTTAAAACTTTGGTCATTTACAATAAAATGTTTAGCTTTGAAGCTATGGTCTGATACTCTGTGCTCTATTGCTTACTTAATAAGGTTTTTGCTACAAAAGTGTTCAGAAAACTTTTTCATTCATTTATCCAGTCAGTTAATCAAAACTCTGAGTTCCAGAAAAACAGAACAACAACAACAAAAAAGAACGGGGAGGATGTGGTCAAAATAATAATTCAACAAATTTTACTAGGACTGAAGGACAGATGTCTCCATATTGAAAGGGTTCACCAAGTAAAAAGACCTACACTGAGGCACATTATTAAAAAGGTGAAAACACTAAGAATAAAGAGAAGATACTAAACACTTTCAGAGGAAAGAAACAAGAATAAAGGGATGGGAATTAAAATGGCACTGGATTTCTTAACAATAACACTCTAGTGTTAAAACACAATGAAGTGAAATTTCTTCAAAATTCTAGCTTGGAAGGACAATAACTTCCAACCTAGAATTCTATAGTCAGTCACATTATCCATCAAGTACAATGACAAAATAAAAACATTTTCACATAGAGAAGGATGCAAACACGTGCTTTCTATTCACCTTTAAAAAAAAATTTTTTTTTTAAAGAAAGCTACTAAAGGGTACACTCTAACAAATCATGGGAGTAAGCCAAGAAGGAGAAAGACGTGGGATCCAGAAAATAGGATCAGGAAAATGTGAAGGGACAACCCAAGATGAGAAACATATTGTGGAATTAGAGAATGACCCATTTTCCCTGGAGCAGGAAGGTGGCAGGCTCTAAGAGAAAAGACTCTCGTTCAAATAATTGAGATTAGATTAACTTATTTTGAGTTTTTGGGAAATTACGTTGACAGATGTTTGATTCATCTAATGAAATATATAATAAAATTGGAGTAAAAAAGTAAAAAACATAAAAGTAAAAAAGAAACAATTATTAATTCCATGAAAAATAAAAATTATACAAGAAAGGTAACAGCATTTCTCTAAACTGTTCTGTGGTGGTGAAAGGTGTAGAACTTTTCAGAGCTTTTGAAATACTAATATAAATCTCTAAGAAGTAGAGAGCATGTAGCATAGAACTCTATAGAATTTATTTGTATTTTTGATCACATTACTTTTTAGTTTACTTTTAAAAAAATAGGTAATATATTCATGTTTCAAAATTTAAAAACATACAACCCAACAGAAAATTGAGGAGAAAACAGATATCTCACAAAGAGGACATCTAAATAGCGAATAAAGGTGAAAAGGTGCTCAACATCATTAATCATTAAGGAAATACAAATTAAATCTACAATGCAACACTACTATCCAAATACTAGAATGACTAAAATTGAAAAGACTATGTACCAAGTGGGATGAGGATTTGGAGCAACTGGAACTCTTATACACTGCTGATGGGAGTATCAATTGGTACCATCAATTTTGCAAACTGTATGGCAGTATCAATTAAAATTGCAGATATGCAGACCCTATGATCCAGCTATTTCTTGCTTGGAATGGGAACACGTGTATTCATATACTAGAATATATGAATATATTATATATAGCAGTGCTATTTATAATAGCCTCAAACAGGAAATTACCCAATTACCCATAAATAGGAGATTGGGTAAATAAATTGTGGCACATTTATGCAATGCAATACTAAATGGCAATGAAATTGAACAATGTACAATACTGATGAATCACACAAATGTAATGTTGGATGAAAAAAGCCAGATACAGAAGAGTACATACTGTATGAATCAATTTGTATAAAGTACAAAAATAAGCAAAATTAACATGATTTTAGAAATCAGGATAGTGGCTACTTTTATAGAGGAGAGATAGTGACTAGAAGGGACCGAAAAGAGGCTTCCGGGGTGATAGTAATGTTCTGTTTCTTGTTCTAGGGCCCAAACTCTAGGCACCAGTTTTATGGATATGTTCAGTTTATGAAAATTCATGGAGGTTACACTAACGTGTACTTTTCTGTATATATACTTATATATTATACTTCAGTAAAGAGTTAATAAGCTTAAATAGAAAAGAAAACAAATGTATACTCATATGTATATAAAACGCATAAATATATAAAATGTCTCTGAATTTTATGTAATTACTATAACAATATATACCTGTTCATCTTGCTTGTTATTTTTACTTAATGTATATTGGATACTTTTCCATATGAATGCACAAAAAGCTTCCTTACTCTTTTTATTTTATAAAGGCTGATGGATATAATGCATTTTATCCCCCATTGGTGGACATTTAGATTGTGTTCACATATTTGCTATTACAAATAATGCTGGAATAAAAAATCTTTACATATATCATTTCATGTACTTGCAAGTATTTCTACATATTCCTAGAAGCCGAATTGCTGGATCAAAGAGTATGTTCATTTGTAGTTTTGGTTTATGTCATCAAATTGCTCTTTTGAGGTCGTACTAGTTTTCTTTGCTACAGACAATGGGAGTAGCATACATGCAAGTATATCTACATATTCCTAGAAGCCGAATTGCTGGATCAAAGAGTATGTTCATTTGTAGTTTTGGTTTGTGTCATCAAATTGCTCTTTTGAGGTCGTACTAGTTTTCTTTGCTACAGACAATGGGAGTAGCTGTTTCTCTACATGTTTATTTTCCTTTCTTTTTGAGATAGGTAGTACAGTGTCAGTCTGCTGATTCTGAAGAGTTCAGTGCTTCTAAATTCATTTAAATGCTACGATTCTTTTTATCTCAAACTTTCTAAACATTTGACTGCAAGTTATTTATCACAACCTTAAACCTTTAACTTTCATGGTAGTTTTCACCATATACAGTTTAAAAAATATGTATTCTTAGTCGTATATATGGGAATTAATTAAACTGTATGTGTATATACATGAGAGTACTTCAAAAAGTTGGTAGAATAGAATTAAAAGATAATACAGATCTTTCCATGAAGTTTTTAAAGTACCCTCATATTTACAGTTTAACTAATTCCCATAAGAAATTGGCTAAAGCTAGAAAGCTTAAGGAATACTGATGCTGAAGTATATTGACTAAACAAGAAACAAAAAATTAGCATAATTATTATGCAAATTAGGATTAAAAACAAGCATCACATGTATATGTTGAATTCATTTGTTCAAAATTCCTTAAAGTTACATCAAGATGTATTTTTCCATTTACTGAGAATAAAGGTTATTTATACCTGTACGTATAATAGGAAATAATAGCTTGAAATCTCTCAGATCTTCTTAATTAGAAACAAGACAAAAAATACTTGAAAAATCATTTTAAAAAGTACAAATCCAAGAATTTCAAACACATTACATTCTAAATTTTTCTATTTTTCAGTCTAAAAGTACCTAGTAAGTTTTAAAAACATAAACGCTGAGTAAGTCTCTATAATTGCATAATAATGAATGTTCTGCATGGGAAAACTAATGTTTGGGGTACATTTGGTACCTGTTCCCTTCAGAAAATCTCAAAAAAATACCTGATATATCTGATGACATAGAGTTTATTATTATGAGGAGTTATAAAACTACACCTTTTTTGCAGTTAACGAATATAATTATGTTTCTCATTTAGCCATTCTGTGTTCAATT